AAAAAAAAAACCTCCGTAACCGTAGGCTGGTTAGACTACCTATTAGACTATGAGACTGTTAGATTAGACTGGTGGACTTATTTATATTTATTTATATTAGGTGTGGTTGTTGTTGTTGTTGTTGGTGTTTTGCTATATATGTATACATGTACATGTACTGCAGCTGTGCATGCTTATGCACTTTTCTTTTCTCTTCTTTTTCTTACACGCCTATAAGCATACACCCACACGCACTTACACACATGCGCGCGCGCGCGCTTTCCGCCCGTATCTCCTCCCCCTTCCCTCATCCTACACAGCCCACACTCCCGCCCGCCTGCCCCCTACACACCCCCACGCGCACCCCACCCCACAGGCACCAGCGCGGCCGCCACCTGCTGCACGCCGCGCTCCGTCGCCAGCAGATTAAACTGCGCGGCCGCGTTGCGCGTGTCCTGCACTTCGACGCGGATGCCCAGGTCGTTGATGTGTTTGCGCGTGCGCGGCGACAGCGGGATGACGCTGGGGCCGGTGCCGAGGATTAGGAGATCTGTTTTGAGGGGAGGGAGGGGGTTAGCTTGTGTTGGTTGGGGTTTTGGGGTTTGGAGGGGTTTTATTTTGAGGGGGGGAAGAGAGACGTACCCGGCTTGGGCCAGACGACGCGCAAAACGCCCCACGCCGCCTCATCGACTTCCCAGAGGCCCTTGGGGCTGCGCATGTCGCTCACACCCGCACCCTTGTCCTTGCCCTTGTCCTTAGCCTCACCTCCAACGCCTTCGCCCTCGCCGCGGGGAGCGCGCACCCACGGCCGCCACCGAAACACCTCGCCCGCGACCAGCAGCACGCCGGAGCCGGTGACGCGCAGGCCCGAGTTCAGCGCGAAGCCGTCGGCGGTGGTGGCGTCGATGCCGGTGACGGGCGCCGGGGTCCCGCCCAGCACGTCCATGCTGCCGAAGTCGGTTTGCGTGCTTTCTGTGCTTGTTGGGCCGCGGTCGTGGGTTCGTGGGGGGCGGGAGGCGAGTGGGCGCGGGCATGTTGTGAGGGTGCGGGCGGTTTGGGGGAGGCGGGGTTGTCGTCGTGGGAGGGCGAGGCGCGTGAGGGCGCGGAGGGCCGCGCGTGGTGGTGGCATTGTGGCGGTTGTGTGTGGTGAGAGCGGCGCAACTGGTGGGTTCTTTGGTAGCGAGGCTGGCTGGTTGGTCGTGGTTTGGTTTGGTTGTTTTGGGTTGGGTTGGATTGGTCTGGATAGGTGGGTGGTGAGGTTGGAGCTAGCTGTGCGAGGATTGAAGCTGTAGCTGCGGAGGAAGAAAGACGGTAACATCATCGCGGGTCATGACTCGTGATGGGGCTAGCCGCGATAGGCAGGTTGGGATCTCTGTCGTTGATAGATTGATGTTGCTGTTAGAGGATACCTTGGACTTGATGATTGATAGGGCTTTCGCAGACTGAATTCTGAGTCAACTTAATAGACTGGCTTATACTGGCGACAACTACGTCTTCCGGCCAAGGTTCTTGGTTATACGTATGTTTGCCCTTGAGATCCGTGACTAAATTTGGAGATACAAGTATGCTAGTCTTTTCAAGACAACCGTAAGCGATTTCTCTCCTCTACAATGCTGCACCAAGTCGGGTTTCCTGCAGTGCTGTTGTTAACTGATTGTTCCTCTCAACCTCGGCATCCTGGCATCTACCCACGATCGAACGCCGAGTCGCGTCGCGTGGCTCCGGTCCGCCGTAAACTACGGCAAACGACAGACCATGAACCACATCCACCAAAGCTCGCCCAAGCTTGTTCCTTGCTCTTTCAACACCTCCCACTAACGACCTTGAATGCTGCAATCACGCACGAACACGACCTCACGACTGATCACTACACGTAAGTGTTTCACCATCTACGACTCCTTCAATTGCTCTGCGCGCCCCCCACCCCCACCTTAGCTTATAGCTCTTTGTCTTACACCCTACTTGCCCGTCACTAGTCTGATGGGTCTTGAGACGCAATCAAGCTAATTTTGGTATATCCCAGCGACCAACGCATCTGAAACCGCGTCTATTTATTCCTGCTGCACCGCTCAGTCGCCAGCGCCTTAGTCCGCCGCAGCACCACCACCAAAACGAAGCATCCAATCGCGCGCACACGTCCACTGCCCCCCTACCGTTGCCGCGCCCTCGCCACCTTCGGGTAGATCCTGCCGAACATGCCACTCACGACGCCCTCGCCACAGACGTGGACCCTCCGCTGCAAGCATAACAAAACCACCATTGTCCTCCACGTCGACGCGCTGCAAACCCTCTCCAGCATAAAGCCGGAGCTCCTACAGGCGTTGCGCGACACGCAGCCCGACGGTTCGCTGAACGGACACGCGCTGCCCGAGGACGCGGCCGAGATCCAGCTGGCCAAGATGCTCGATCCCCACGACGAGACACGCGGCTGGGTGCGAGTTGACAATGCAGAGACCAAGGTTGGCAAGAAAAAGGACGGGCCGAGCTTGAAGGACGTAGGGCTCAAGGACAACGGCGTGCTGGCGTTTAGGTGGGGAGAGGAGGCGGCAAACGCGCCAGACCAGATCCTGGATGAGGACGAGGGCGAGCAATGGGATGTCATCATGCCAAAATACGAGGAAACGTACTTCCCGGAAGACGAGGGCGTGGGATCGGCATAGGATGGAGCGTAGGGGCTGTTGAAGAATGCATGGATGTTATGGAGCCCTCACAAAGGGAACGCCGGCGCCGGGCAGTAATGAATAGCGAAGAATTGTGGGAGTCGTCACCGCCACGCAGATCTACGACGGCGGAACTTGCTGGGATTTCTGGGCGCTGCATGGCTTCGGCGTTGATTGGGCGGCGTCAAAGGGATGCTCGACATGCTCGCTTGCATGGCACGGTGTTGCTGGTTAGGAAAACGGCCTGCTCACAAGAGCGGTAAACACAAGTAGTAGAAGCAGGCGAAAGTAGCCTCGCTGTCCCCGCTACCGCATAGAGACATCTTGTCGGTTGCCGGCGTCCCATTGGCCCCAGGCGTGTAGTACCCGTTGTATGCAATGCGCCTACACTCCGTGCCACGCTGCTGTACATACTTGGCTTTTCTCGAGTCGATAAGAAAAGTACCACGACCCTACTAAAAAAAATCCAAGACACGCGTCAAACGAGCCACCCAGCGCACCTCGTCCTCGCGTCGAGTCGCAGCAGTCTTACGAGAGCTGCAACCGACCCCAACGCGTAGGATTCGTCCGTGGCACCACCACGGCAACGGCAGCCTGCTCGACTGTTGCCTGCGGCCCCTGCATGTGCGGCTGAGACCATTCAGGGCGTGGGCTGAAGGAGCAAACATGAGGCTGAGCGGGCCGTCGGACTCGTGCGACTCCTGGCTCCACTCCCGGGCTCCGGCAGGAAGGGCATGGGACAATGGCATTGTTATTCGTGGGAGGAGCTCTGCGTCGTTCCTATTCGTAGTCGGGCGTCGCATCTGCATCTAGTGCTGACAGGAGTCTCTGAGTTCAAAACATCTTGCATGCATGCGTCAAGAGGCCGTGCTCGCGCATTCACGTGTCACAGCGAAAAGGCGTTGCAGTGTCAGTGTGCTGCGAGGCACGAGGCGTCGGATCTCCTCTGTCCAAGGCCGAGATGGGAATTTTCACATGGGAAGGGAACAAAGGAGAGTAGAGGCGAAAAGAGAAAAGAGAAGGAATAAAAAAAAAAAAAGTTGCCCCGGACGTCAGTCTGTCGATCGTAGTGGAAATCATCCGGAAGCTCGGTCGGGCAAGTGACGTCTGCTGCCACGCGCAGAGAGTGGCAGAGGCGGGAATCTGGAGAAAATCATTTCGTCAGTCGAGACGCGTCTGGCCCACGAGCTCCAACAGCCTGAGACGACGGATGGGGAAGGCCCTGCAGTCGCGATGGACATGGGTACTTATTGGCCCAGCCGGCATGCGTGCCCATCGCTTCCCACTTTACGCTGCTCGCCTGCTTGCTTGATTGCTTGCTTGCTGTTGCTCTCTGTCCTCGCCCAGACACAACTCGCCTGCCCCCATTCTCGTGTGCCCCCAAGCACTGCCTGGCCCCGGTCCTGGTCTCCATCCTTAACCTGAACCTGAACCCCCGCCGTCCTCCGACACGCCTCACCAACCCTTCTCCCAGCGAATCACTGTCATCGCGACGGCACCTTTGCTCGATTGCGCGCCTGTGACTGGCTCTCAGCCCTCGCCCTCTCGACTCGATCCTCGGTTTCACCTACTCCGCCTCGACCCGTTGCGAATTCGTCCATCGCTCCGGCCGCCCTTCACTCGCGACACGCCCTCTCGCTCTCAGGCCTCGAGTCTTCGTGCATCGACCCACCTGCAATCATCCGTCCGTGTCCGCTGAAACGTGCCCGGGGAAGCCTGCGCGAATGAGAGGCCGCGACTCGCCGGTCAGGGACAGTTCAGCAGAGTAGCCAGCAGCGGGGCTCGTCGATGCGTCTAGAGCGAGGGGCTGTGGGACTACACTATCGGCGGGTCGTTCTTCAAACACATCGTGACGGCAACTCGGCGGGGAACGAGCGCTGAACTGCCAACCTTTGCTGCAACCCTCAGCACGCCTCGCGATGCCGTCAGCCCAACCGAAAAATCCGTATACCTTTCTCGAGCGTTCCTTCAACGACGCGCCAGTGTTCAAGGCCCCCCGGAACCCGTCGTACAGAAGGGACGAAATCCACGACTTCTTCCCCGCGTTGGCGCCGCTTAGACCAGGCTCCTACGCCTACGACGACGCCTCGACCGAAACCAGCGACGAAGACTCGACTTTCCTAGTGTCACCGCCCGTAATCAATGGACACATTTTCGGTCTGCCCCCAACACCACCATCCGCCCTACAAGACCGTGACCGTCGACCACGCTCCAGCACGCAGGAACACGCCGGCGTCGTTCCCTCGCTGCTGTCAAGGAAGTCATCGATCAAGACACCCCTCAGCCAGAGGAGCCCGCCTACCCCGGATCCGAGCCCGCCGCGGACAGCCGAACACCTGACGATGCCTTCCGCTCAACTTCAGCTGAATCCCTCGTCGCGCTCCGACTCTTTTACCACTGCGAAAAGCTTCCAGGAATCTGAGGAGGAAAACGGCCAGCCACGCTTCTCGTATTCCGACGCTTCCGCTCCCCTTTCTAGACCGCCGGCCGGTCCTGCTGTACAAATGAAGGACAAAAAACTGCTGGATATGGAGGGCGATGATGATGACATGACGCCGACAGAACGCAATCCTTCCGGCCGGCCCGATCGCGCGGCGACCCACCGTGATGGGTCTCGGGATGCGAGGAGAGACAGTCGAGATTGGGAGCCGGACCACGGGTGGGACTCTAATCTCTCGAGGAATGCGACGGTACGACGGGGCCGGGCTCCAAAAACACCTTCCGGGCAGACATCTCCGGACGGAGGCGCATCACCGCTATCCGTCATGAAGAGAGGCGCCATCTTGCGCGAAAGATCGGAGAACAGCAAAAGAGTACCAACCGACCCTGCGCTCGAGAAGTTTGCCAACGATATTGGCTGGCCCAATGAAGTCAACAGAGCCCTCCACAAGCACCTGCTCGATACGGAGTCTAGACGCTTTTCCATCGCATCTAATACATCAACAGTGGTGGAGGCTGTGGTGGTCTCAACTCCCCCACAGCACAAAAGGACGCTTCGCCACGCTGGAAAGAATCTGGCATTACGCTCAAGCAGCGAGTCCCGGTCTAACCGCAACTCTCAGTCCCTGGAAGATGGCCCATCGCATCGTCTGGTACACAAGCGATCCCGTATACCGGATAAAAGGAATCGCGACAGCATTGGATCCGACCACGCCCCCAATGTCAGCGCAACGTCTTCGCCGGTCTCGACCAGAAAACGTCAAAATAGTGTTCCGGTACTTGTGATCCCTGCACCAGAAGGCCTCAAGCCTGCTCTGGCACCTAGGAACCATGTTAGATTTCAGTTGCTTACAGATCAAATACAGTCACAGTTGCGTACTTCGGCCACTCCCGATGAAGACCTCGGATACTTTGATGTCCCGAAACGAGCCCCGAGAAAGAAATCGGCCGACAAGTCATCTTCGCCTTCCAAGAGCAAAAGACGGGAGCAACCACCGCCTACGTCAGATGAGACTAAGCGCAGAAGCTTCACAGCGCCGTCTGGAGTCACCGGCGGCAGCGACAGAATCACTTTGGAATACTCACCGAAGGGTCCAAAGAGAGAGAGCTTCCGCCGGAGTGCGGCAAACAAGCCTGGGGTCCGCAGCAAGGAGTCTCTACTTTCTACCCCAGATGAGCGGGAAACATCCAAGCCACTGCCGCCTGTTCCCACTGACGACGTACCAGCGCAGCCGACGAAATCAGACCCAGCGTCTGAGGAACGTCCGAGGACTAGTCCACAAACACAGTCGGAACAAGACAAGTTGACTAAGCGCGCGGAACAAGTACCACAAGAGCGACCTGTCAGCAGCCCGCAAGAACGGACAAGCCCGGAGGAAAGGCCTCACCGGATGGACCAAGATCCTCACCAGAGCCGTCCGGCCGATTCTTCCAAAGCACAACGGAGCCCTGATCGGACCTCCGAACGGACTGAGGAGATTGTTCGGCCTGGCATTGACAGAGCTTTAAGCAATCGAAGCCGTCGCAGAAGTCTCGATTCTACAGGGTTTTCTCCGTTATATACTGGTCGGACGAGCTTCGATCGCTCCACCATCCGCACAGACGACCACTCTATGGTCCGGCACCACTGGACGCAGACACCCTTTTCGCAGATGTCTGATACCGGCGACCCGCTCGAGGTCAGCGAAGCTACTGCCGTCAGCATCTACCCGCACAACAACCACTCTCTGCTCGTAGTCCAGCAGGTTGCCCGCGCTGGAACCGTTTCCCACAGGCGCGCCGCCTCTTCACCGGAGTCAGCCCTGCCGCCGAAGCAACCACAGGACCGTCCAGCAACTCCTCCAATCCTAACCATTGGACCGCCGGCGCCGCCTGAGCATGTCATTGCCAATATTCCCACGGTCACCTCCCCGTTGAAAAACCCGCGCAAACCGCCTGAGCCACCTGCATTCAAGATCATTCCGCCAACCCCGGCTGAGGAAATTGAGCGTGAACTCGCCGGCCCGTCTGCACCTCAAAAACACGAAAACCGGGGACCGCCTCCGACGCGCCGGCAAAACCTTGTCCAACGTGCTCGGCGCTATTCCGACACAATTATCCAGCCGATCCTTCGCAACACAAGTATTCGACGCAACATCAACCCGCCGAACCCTGATCCTCAGCGTGTGCCCAGTGTTAGTTCGGAAAAGCAGAAGGCGGACGAGAACAACCTACACCCTTTTTGGAAGCCACGTGGTTTCTGGGACGACTTCAGTGGGTCGGATAGTGAGGATGATCTTGCCGTCAGCGGCGCCCCGACGTCGGGCACACGCTCCGGCAACACGAGCAATGTGGGTCTCCAGTCAGAAGCCATAGATGATGATGACGGCATGGATGAATGCTATCACAACGGGTCTCTGTCGAGCCACCCAATGACACATGAGCAGATAGACGAGCAGTACCGCGACCTCGAGCGCGCAAAGGCGGTCGAGCGCCAGCGGCGCAAGATCGGCGCCCTGGGCCGCCGCATCACGACGGGCTTCAAGGGCTCGGGCGGCTTCCTCATCGGCAACAGCCTGGGCGTCGAGCGCCACGGCACCAACAACCGCCGCCACCACGTCGATGCGCCATCCGGCTCGACCTCGTCGAAGGCGGCGCCTGCGCCGCGCATGCGTGGCGGTGGTGTCGGTGGCGTCAGACGCAGACCCTCGAAGGGCTCGCTCCGCAGCGGTGCCAGCGCCGGCAGCGCAACCGCGACGTCGCTGGCTTCGGCTTCGGGCTCGGGTGCGGGCGCTGCCTCTGGCGCCGGCAGACGCAGCCCGCCGTTTGCGTCGCCGGCGCAGGCGCGCGCCCGCAAGAACCGCCGCCGCGAACTCGGCGGCAACTTTTCAAGCAGCAGCCTCTTGGGCGAGGGGGCGGGGGCGGGAGCGGGGTCGATGGCGTCGTCGACGCGGCTGCGCTCGCCGCCTGAGGGGGCTAAGGGCGGCGCCGTTGTTGCTTCTTCTTCTTCTCCTTCTTCTGTCGCCCCTGGCGCCGCTACCGCGGCGGCGCGCGCCCGCGGCCGCGAAGTCCGCATCCCGCGGCTGTTGGGCAAGGGCGGGAAAGGCTGGAGCGTCGAGTATGTGGGCTTGAGCGGGTTGAGGGATAAGTTTGCGGAGAGGAAGGCGGAGAAGCGGCGGCAGGAGTTGAGGGGCATGATTGGCTCGCGGTTTTATTGGGAGGGGGAGGCGGGGAGGGTCGCGTAGTTGGGGGAGGGTTTATTCTTTTCTTGCATCTTTACGTCTTCTTCTTCTCTGCTTCGGCTCTTTTTAGTCGCGCTTCTTTTTTTTTTTGTTTTGTTTTTCAGGGGGCTGCTAAAGCAACAGCAGTAGCGTCTTTTGATTGGGTGGGTGGTTACTTGGCTTTACGATTGTCACGCGTTCACGAATCTGCGGTTTTTTTGGTTCTTCTCCTTTCACACCTCGATTCTTTCTTCTATTGCTTGCTTCTTGCTTCTTGCTTCTTCTTGCTTCTTCTTGCTTCTTCTGATGGGCTTTTACGCTACTACCTAACGTAGCTACTGCATGGCGCTGTCGGCTATCTACTTCTGCTGCTGCTTCTTTTTCGTCTTCTTCGCTGAGCTGGCTGTGCTGGCTGGCTTCTTTGCTTTGCTTTGCTTTGCTTTGCTTTGTAGCTCAGAGCTTGACTTAGTCTGGTTTGGCTTGGCTTTTTTGAGCCGTTCTCCTGTATCTTCTTCTTCCTGCCTTGCCTTGCCTTGCCTTGCCTCACCATACCTTGGCTAGGTTGGGCTAAGCGCGTGGGTACTGGTGAATTGAAGTGGTGGGGGTAGAAACGACGCGGTTGCTTGCTTGCTTGCACGCGCGCAGAGGGGGGCCGAAAATAAAGCACAAAACGGGATGGATGGGGATATACATGGACTTGCGTACACACACGCGCGCGCGCGAGAAGACGAATGAATACACGCACACGCACACGCATGGGTAAAACGAATCGACGCGACGACGAAAAGGCTTACGCATATGTTTTGGACGGGATGGAATGGCTTGGGCTGGAAAAGAGAGGGCTATATTATACATATGAAAGCAAAATGGGCTAGGCTGGAGCTTGGGCTTGGGCTTGGCTTGGGTTTGGGTGGATGCACTCGTTTTTGTTGTTGTTGTTGTTGTTGTGCTTTATCATGCATGCTTGTTTTAGCGGTTCGCTTGCTTTGGTCGCTCGTTTTTGGATACTTGGTTGGGCGGTTCGCTCTTGCGCGCTCTTGCGCGCGACGCATGTGGTTATGATTCATGAGGGGGTGGTTGCGGTGGTGGTGGTGAGAGGGGTGAGAGGGGGATTGTAATTGTAGGTAGGCTGCTTGGTTGCTGGGGTTATGGACGGACGTTTGTGGCGTGGCGTGCCGCGCTGGGCGCGGTGGCGGGGTTGGGAGATGGAGGGGAGAGGGGTAGTGGTGGTGAGGGGGTTTTTAGAGGGAGGAGGGAGGTGTTTCAATGCAATTGGTTTGGTTTGCGTTTTGTGTGCTTGCTCGTGAATGAGTTTTGTGTGCTTGTGCTGTGCGGTGGTGAGATGATTGCGGTGTAGTGTACTCCTCCTTCCCCTACGATACACACGGCAACACTGGAGCAATAGTGCTGGAGTCATTTGGCGCGGTCCGATATCCAGCACACTCTTCACATCTCTCACTATCCATTGTCAACGACCACCTAACATGGCGGTCTGATGAAAGTAAAAAGCAGAACAGTTCAAAAGAGGGAGCAGGCCGTACAGTAAAGCCCCAGCAAATCAAACAAGTAATAAAACAAAGGCTTTTTGTTCTACATGATGTTCTGTTCTGCCATCTTTACATGACGCTGTCCTTCACCACTATCCCAAACTACTGTTCTACATCGTTGCTGAAGCTTGCCTCCTCGTGCCCTTCTTACGCAGCAGGCCTGTCGATGTCTGCCCCCGTCCGGGAGCTCGCCAGACGGCCCGCCAACAGCCATGGTGTCGAAGTCTCCAGCGTTCGCAGCCAGTACGTCCCAGATCTCGTACGGCTTCGTTAGCAGCACTAGTACGAGCGCGCTGATGGCTGCCTCGGCTTTGTATTGATTGCGTAAGCGCAGACCGCTGGACACGCAGTACGCACTTCTGCAATTGCGAAGGGCTCTGCTGTGGCATGCCTCCGGGCATAGAGACCGAGATGTCAGATGAGGACGCTCTTGTTCGGAGGGCGCTTGTCTTGCTCGTTCACCCACGGGGCGCAGATCGAGCGGCGAAGACCTGGGTCACGGAGCGGAGCGGGGCTCCCGGTTCAGTGCTCGCGGGTGCGCTGTCAGTGTCGGAGGAAGCTGTCTGGGTGAGAGCCTGTGCGACTGCTATAGCCGGCTGCTGCGAGGACTTTGAGGGGCTGTTGTCTCGCGCGGTGGCTTGCTTGACGTTGATGTTCCAGCTGAGCATGCTGCGTGAGCTGCTGCGGTGGTTAGTCCGGTCGACTCTTCTACCGCATATGAGGCCTTCTTGCTCTTCTGTTGAGATGGCACCCGTCTTGTCAAATCAATCACCTTTACCGGCGATTGCGTTAATGGAGGCGGAGTGGGAGACGGCCGTGGTGTATTGCGCTCTGGGCGCGTGCGTCTTGGGTGAGTGAGCTTGTGCTGAGTTGAGTTGAGTTGAGTTGTATTCATTTACCCTGACCCATCGCCCTGAGCGATATGCAGGCTACGACTATTCAAGAGTTTTGCTACTAGTTTACATGTGATTTGTCAATCTGGTTATGAGTCGATTGAGTGATTGAGTTGAGTTGAGTTGAGTTGTATTTATTTACCCTGACCCATCGCCCTGAGCGATATGCAGGCTACGACTATTCAAGAGTTTTGCTACTAGTTTACATGTGATTTGTCAATCTGGGAGGAAAAAGGAAGGTAACGGGAGCGGATAGTAGGGTAGGAGGGGATAGTGGTGTAGAGGTTCTATGCTGTAGGATTGTCTCTATTCTTAAACCGTTGTGAGTCTTGTGCAAAGTTGAGCACAGCCTGAAGCTGTGATGCTGTTATTCTCCAATTGTTGTCTTTACTCTGGGTAGCTGCGGCATTGCTTAGTGGCTTTCCGCCGAGTAAGGCTGATAGGCTGTTCTTTTCTAGTCCACTATCTTGGAGCATCTTCTGTCGGCTTTCCTGAAGCAGAGAGCAGTTGAGGAGAACGTGGGAAACTGATTCGACTTCTCCGCATTCGCATTGATCGTTGTTAATCCGACCCATTCGTGTGCGGTGTTGGTTGAGCCAGCAGTGGCCGGTTCGCAGCTGGGCAAGGAGGCCAGCGAGCTTGTGCTGATTGATTGATTAATTGATGATGTTCTTTGTCATTATTGCGGGGCGTTGGCGTTTTGCTTTGTTACGAGTTGATCTTATGCACCGTCCTCACACCTGTCTAGTTCCCTATAGTTATTATCAACGTTCCCACCGCCAGCAACCCAGATCTTCTTGTTGAGGCTTGGCTCCTTACCAGTACCCGTCTTAGTAAGAGAGTTAACTAGCTCTCTAAGCTGTTTAACCATCTTCAGATGGGACAGACGTTTGACGTTTCGCGTTAGGGGTGTTAAAGGAGGGGTCGTAAACCATCATCTGGTGGACGTTATTCGTCGTGTAGGCGAGGTCTGTGGCGAGTTTGCTTAGACTGATATGGTGTTCTGTCGAGCTTCTCCATGAGAAGATGTTCTTCGTAAAGGAGAGGTCTGACGTCTTGTCAGCTAGGCGTAAAGTGGATACCCTTCTGGTGATTACTTCCGCAAATGAGGAAGGTTGCTGGGAAATATAAATAATTTGTTTAGCGTTTGGATTGTAACTTACTGTGCTATAGAATAGTTATCGCCTAGTGACCTTGGACCTCCGTTTAACAAACCCAAAGGTTTAAGGTAATTATACAGAGCTTCATATAAACGCATACACTTAGTACTCGCACTTAAGCAGTTGCCGAACCCGGTGTATATAGCCACTGTTTCGATATTACAAGATTGGTAAAGTAGAACAACCTACAACACGAAAAATGAACATATACTGCCTATCGCATCACTGAACAACCAGTGTTTGTTCCATTTTTCCATTCGGAGCACAAGGATATAATAAATAGCCGACGAGTCGTGGGATGAGGGCTGAAGTCACTTTATGGACGAAATATACTGCTATGTGGATCTCAAATTGGCCCATCAACAGTATCCCGTTCTAGCTGGGCCTAGCAGTACCACAGTGAAGCATCAAGCCGGCCTTCTCACAGTTCACCAAGAGAATGAACAGCGTAGCATCACTTATAAACACTAACAGGTCTTATAGCTCCTAACACCCACATCCATTACCATCTGATGCAGTAGTGAGCTCCAAGAGCATATCAAAAAGTTCATACGTATCATTTATCACAGATTTCAGCGAGCAGAAAGTCTTCTTCATCGAAGTCATCTTCATTGTTTTGTACAGAAGTGTTTAAAATTTTAACCAAAAAACTAGCATAAAAACGCTCTTCCCCTATAAACTCCGTGTTGAAGTGCCTTTGGTACAGAAAAAGCTCTTATCCACACCATAAAAAAA